ATTTTGGCCTCAGGAATTTGGGGGTTGGACTGGCCTGGGAGCCTGGCCCAGGAAAGATGCTGGTCTAGAGCAGCTGGTGGCCATGCTACCCAGAGATGCAAAGGCATATAGGGCAGGAAGAGGCCACAAGGACTCCTGGAGACTGCACTGAGGAGCTGGTTTGGTCTGGATGCAAAAGATCAGAAAGAAGAAAGGTCAGCTCCCAAGTCCCAGAAAGTGGATGAGAGGTGGTGCAGGCCCAGGGAAGCAGAGGGAGGTGAGGGCAGGGCCAGGCCCAGAAGCAGTGCTCCTGGGGCCCAGAGAAGGCACTAAGTTGGTTTGGATGAAAGGGGTCAGGAAGTAGTATTGGTTCCCCAGGTGTCTGGGGCCCCAGGACAAGGAATGGGGCAGGGCCCAAACTCGGAGGAGAGAATGGCAGAGGAGATGGGAAGGTGAATGGGGCTGGAGGAGTCAAGGCATGGAGGGTGCGATGGACTTACCCCAAGAGAGGCCTGCAGGTGGGAGAGAGGTCTGTGGAGGGTTTTAATAATGAAATGGAGACCTTTTTGAAAGGTTAAAACCTCATTTAATTTTATGTCTTATAGGGTTTATACTGAGTACAATATTGTATAACTGTAATAATTCAACTATAAACCTTAAAATTTACAGCCAATTTTGATAGAGATGTATCTTATCTCAGGAAATTATTATTGAATATGTCAATGCTGTTGTAATGAAATGTTTCTTCTAAGTATGTGGTTATTAAATAAATAATTTTTTAAAATGTCAAAAAAAGAAACCAATACTAGACAGTAGCCCCTCATTAAAAGTGGAGGATTTTTTAAAAGATTCATTTACTTTTATTTTATGAGTGTTTTGCCTGCATATAGGTAAGTGTATCACATGCATGAAATGCCCTTGGAGGCCAAAAGAGGAAGTAGGATCCCTTGGCACTGGAGTAACAGTTATTAGCTGCCATGTAGATGCTGAGAACCAAACCTGGGTCTTCTGCAAGAGCAATAAGTGCTTTTAAGATGCTAAGCCATCTCTCAGCTCCTAAATGTGGAGGTTTTGTTCCCAATTGGCATAGCTGTACTAGGTAAGTCCAGGCTTCCCAGGAACAAAATGGCATTAAATATGCCAAAGAAAACAGCAGAAATCAGCAAAGTTTCAGAGCTGTGCTGTCCAAGGAAATCTTTGAAGACAAGAATGTTTTCAACTGCAGGGCCCAACCTAGAGCCAGTGGCCTCTCTGGCAATGGAGCATCTGAAATGTGGCCATATTTAAAAAGTTTTTGTTTTTTTTTTCTTGAGGGAGTCTCCCTGTAGCCCAAGTTAGTCTGAAACTCAATATATAGACCATGCTAGCCTTGATCTCATGGAGATCCACCTGCCTCTGTCTCCCAAATGCTGGAATTAAATGTGTGTGCCACCATGATCAGCCATAATTTTTGAGTTAGTTTAATTTCAGCCAATTATTTAAAATTAGATAGACTTGAGTGGACAGTCCTTCTTGAACTGGACAATACAGCTTCAGAGGGCAGTCTCCCAAAGCCAACTCACTCCAGTGCTTCCTGCTTCCATTTCTGTCTGGACCCGTGTGACAGGCATAGACTCTAGATATCAAATTTTGCTTGTTTTTTTAAAAAAATTTTAAACATTCATTTATTGTGTGTGTGCATGTGTGTGCCATAGTGTGTGTGGTAGTTTGAATGAGAATGTCCCCCCTAGACCTCACGTATTTGGACATTTTGTCCCCAGTTGGTGGCACTGTTTGTGGAGGCTTTAGGAGGTGTAGCCTTACTGGAGGAAGTGTGTCACCGAGGATAGGTCCTTAAGAGTCCTTAAGCCTTCTTCTGCTGCCTGCTTGAAGATGTGAACTCTCTTTCTGCTCTGGCCACCTCTTGCCACCATGTATCCCCACCATGATGGCCTCTGATTCCTCTGGAACCATAAGCTCAAAGCTCAAATAAACTCTTCCATTTATAAATTCCCTTGGTCATGGTGTTTTTATCACAGCAATAGAACAAGTAACTAAGACTGTGTGTGTGTGTGTGTGTGTGTGTGTGTGTGTGTGTGTGTGTGTAGGTCAAAGGACAACTGTGGGATTTGGTTCACTCTTTCCACCATGTAGGTTCTGGAGATTGAATTCAGGTTGTTGTCGGGCTTGGCAGCAAGCACCTTTGTCCGCTGAGCCACCTTACTGGCCCTAAAATTCTGTTTTTTAAATTTAATATTGTGTTTGCTGTTACTTCTGGTTTTGCTTTTACCAGATCCTGCACAATGTGCAGCAGAGTATCGTATCCTTTCCCTAGTTTCTAGAGGGCATGTTCCTATAGACCAAGTTTTCTGTCCACACAGAAGGGCATGTGAAGACTTCTCTTTACCCCTTAGTTATAACCATAGTTTTTATAACCTGTTTCTGTCCTCTTGTTGGGTAGAACTTAACTGAAAACCTTTTATCTATGCAAGGCAATTTGTAGAAATGAAAATAGATGTGTTTCAGCTCAGATCTACTCAGAGTTCTCTTGATAATATCACTCCTGGTGATGTTGATGGGTGAATTCTCACTTAGAGCTTTGAGAGGTCACTGTCTAGGTGGTTTGCCTGCCTGCTCTTCCCTCATCATCTCCTGGAGATCTACACCACCTGCCTTACTGGATGTCATAAGCTTCCTCTGGGACAGGAGATCAGAAAACAGTCTCTTGCTTTTGGATAAAACAGTCTATGCCCACAAAGACAGTGCAAATAGAAAGATCAAGAAGGTTCACCATCAGAATGGTAACATGCCTCCTTCCTAAGGATGTTGCTGCAGGAAGGTTTAGGACTGAGGAGGAGACTTGCTTGCTCTGGGGTCACAGCTGGCAGAGGCATGTGACTTTCTGGAGCTTAAAGCTCATGAACACTTTAAAGGTATGTGTAAAGGCTCTCCTATTTTCACTGATGGAAATCCACGAAGAGAAAGCTTCAGTCGTGAGGTAAAGACAATGTAGCTAAGTGTCCATGCTACCTTCTATCTGCACATCAGAAGATGGGGTGGGGTGATGGGTGGGAGTTGACACTCAGCGGGTTAGCTCCTTCTGATTCATGGACCTCAGGGCTAGGCTGAGGAGTACTAGAAACTGAGTCCTTGTATGGACAAATTATTCACCGGTAGAAAATTAAAGGTATCATTCTTGCTTAAGAAGACGCTTTTTGTCTTTCAGATGTGGAGCACAAACACTAGCGTGCTACTCCCCACCCCCTACCAGGTCAATGAAATTGTCAGTGCTAAAGACAACAAGCCATGCAGCCACTGGCTTTGGGACAAAGGAGGTGAGATATACAGTATGTGTCCTATGTGCTCCTATAATCATGACAGTCCTAGGGCCGGTGCTCCTATAATCATGACAGTCCTAGGGCCGGCACTTACCTGTCCCCCGGGAGTGGCTGAAGTCACCCTTTACCACACGGCAGGTCTTGCCATCCCCACTGCAGATCCCACACCGATCTTCTTTGGCTGATGACCCGATGATGCCATCACAGCCGATTTTCTAGAGAACCAAAGAGCTGGGTCATCGTGTGTTTAAGATTCAGTGAGGTTTTAAAGCTGATGCCCTGCATGAGGTCCGGCAGATACCGTGCCTGGTACCTCTGATAATTTCAGAGTCCTAAGAAAACATTTGGGTTACTTTTAAATTCAGAAGTTAAAAAAAGGAACAGGATTTAGACTGGAATATGTTTTTCTTTACCTTTTTATGAATTTGTCAAATATGTTTTGGGTATACATTACGGAGGGAAGGGGCCCAGCTAGTCTAACGTCGCTATAGCAGAGTACAACAGAGGTGGGGCTTTTCATGGATTGTGCATTCCTACCTGGAAGTGGGGGGATACCCAGCTCTGCCTCATCATGGTAGAAATCTCAGGGTGACATCAGCGGCAACCCAAGACTGCTGGTCATTCAAGGCACAGGTGACCTGGGTAGCCAATTCTGCATGTGTAGTTCTGTGCTCTGCTTTGGATCTCTACAGTGACTGTCTCCAGGCAATTGGTAGCATAGCCACAGGGTCAGTGCCAGAGCTGGCCCCACACCCTGGCATCTTCATGATACCTGAACCTGCTTCCTCTCCGTTTTACTATTTTCCTCATGTGTTCCCAGCTTTAGATCTTTCCTCCACTGTCTCCTATGATTTCTAAACCAAACTCCTACTCTGTCACAGTGAGTCTCTGGTTTTGTTCCTAGTCTCATGCCTTGTAACTAGGTTAGGATTTCCTGATTAGATAGCTTCTGAATGTTCTACATAAACACTCTGCTTGGTCCCAACACCTTCTCCCAACCCCAGTCAAGGGAACTTAAGTCAGGAGCAAGTCAGGTGGCTCTTTATGCGAACTGTGGCCGCTCCTCAGATTGGGACAGGCTTGTGTGCTCTGCCCATGCTGCCTGGTGTTATTTTAGGCACCTTTTTGTATTTGGAATCAGGGCCAGCAGGGATAGCCATGTCTCAACAACAGCAAATCTGAGGCCTGAAGGACAAAAGCCAAACTACCCTGCCAATGGGGCACTTTATCCCTTTGCTAGAGTTAGTGAAAGTAGCCTAGAATACTTTTGGCAGCCACCATAAAGCACAACTGAAGTCATTACTTCTGAGTGTTAGTGGAGCTTTAACGATCACATTTATGAGCCTCAATGTTCCAAGAGAATAAGACAACCAAACGGAAGTAAACGCAGACTTCCCACAGCATCCTATTGATCCTGAGTTACTCTCTTCATTTACCCTTAAGGAATGTCCATCACCATTTCTGAGCTTTCATGTTCCTAGCTAGCCATCTGCTGATCAGACACTGTTCTGCTGAATAAGGTGTGCATGACACTTAGGTGACAAGAATGCCCCGTGGAATAACTAAAAGCACTGGGTGACAAGGAGCTAGTGAGGAATGCACAGGTTCTCTTTCATCATGACAGTTCCTATGACACATACAGAATACAGTTAGAAAAGCTCTAGCTCAGAACCAAATGCCTCGGTGGGCCATGGGTGGGCCATGGATACAAAAGCTACTTTCCCCAGAGGTGAGATATAACAGTCTATGGATGTAAATCCTGATTCCATGCCTATAATTTTTGCACTGACCGACCATTGGCAGTAGCAAGCAACTTCCTGTCAAGTGGCCATGGCGCCATCTTCCTCTTCTTTGACCCCCTGCTCTGCAGCATTCGTCACTGCGTATCAGCTGTGCTTGTCTTTGGCTTATATGCAATTGTCCTTCTGTTTCTGGGGGTTGGTTTCAGGATCCCTCAAAACACAGAGATGCTCAAGTTCTTTATAGAAAGTGTAGCATTTACACAGAACTACACTCAGCCTCCTATACTTTTCCAATCATCTCTGGGGTACATATGATAACGAATATAATGTAAATGCTGTGTAAACAGTTGTTTATTCTTTATAATTAACAAAAACATTATTTACTATAATAATGACAAGAAAAAAGTCCATTTGTGTTCAGGACAAATGCAATTATATTTTTGGAAATATTTTGCATATAAAGCCAGTTGATTCTGTAGATGCAGAACTTGCAATATTTCATCCAAAGCAGTTACTGGACACCTATTCTGTAACGTGAGCAGATAGATGTGTAGACAGAAGGGAAGACAACGTGGAAGCATGCAAGCAGGTACATCAGCATGCATTAGGGCTTCTGTCTGATTCTCTCCAACTCTTGCAGCTCTTCTTCTCTCACTTCCCTGACTGCCTAGAAATGGAGTTTCCTGACTACGCACCTGCCCTGCTGCTTCCCTTTGACTTTCTTACTAATTCCACCACCTCACAAGACTTCATCAATCACAAGTCTTAAACCCAACTATTTCTCTACTTTCCAGACACCTATATTGCAGAGTCTGTTGAGTAATCTTCCCATAATTTCTAGCCTAGGCATTGGATTCAGAAGGTCAGCTCCAGTTGGGCACTTCCTGTACCATCTTGGAAATGGTAAGTACGGTCACCCTATCCTGAAACCTTCAAGCCACCTAACTGTTTCTTTTGACATATCCAATTAGTTGCCAGGCCTGGGAGTTTTGCTCTTTTACAACACCCAGTGTCTATTTTCTCCTATGTTCAGGGCCACTTTTGGTTTAGAGCCTTCTTACTCAAGATATATATGAACTATATCACACTGCTGCTCTGACCCTGATAGACTGATTGTCATATGAGGAGACCCATGACTATAGAATGTGCCTATCATGGTCATTCTGACCCTTCATGACTTCATCCCAATGCTCACCACCTCAGCTTGTCTTCCCAGGCTTTGAGAAGTGCCTGGGAGATCAGCAAATCAAACCTCTGGGTATATTTTGAGTGTACTTCCAGAGGATTAACTAAAGAAGGAAGACTCACCCTGCATGTAGGCAGCACTATTCCACATGCTGAGGATCCAGTTAAAATAAACATGGGGAAGGAAAAGGCCAGGGGCACAGGCACACTCTCTAGCCACTGTGATTTGAACAGCTCGGCTCTGACATGGTGGACTGCGGCCTCTGAAACTATGAGCTTTCCTCTTCTGAGCTGGTTTCCTTGGGCATCTGGTCACATCAGTGAAGTCTAACTTACCTTCCTTCTCCAGATGCACACTGAATCTAATCATTTTCTAGTTCCATGCTTGCAAGACCTCCAAGTCCTCTCTCAGCAAGGTGAGTTTCTGTACCAGTCTAATGAGTTCCCTAGTTCTACTCATGTTCCATCACGGTCAATTTCACTGCCCAAGCCTGCCTCACTCTTCTGCTTCAGTCCCTCCATCACACTCAGAGTAAAACTCAGATTCTTCCTGGGTCTGATTCCTCCGGGCCAGGCCAGCCACCATACCCTGCTGTCTTGGCTTTTGATCCCTGAATTGTACCAGCTTCACTTTTGCTTCCTTCCGCTGGGAACTCTCTGCCCTCGAAGCTCCATCAGGACCTCTCCTTCAAAGCTATGTTCTCCAGAGAACTGCCATGCCACCCTGTTCAGTCCTTTCCAGTCACGCCTTTTACTGCCTCTTCCTATGACAAGTTATTTTCTCTGTCACATATACCAGTCCCTTAGAATGATAATTTTTGTGAGGTCACATGGCCTGTCTATACATAGGATGGGGCCAGGGCTTCAGGTCACTGTTGGGTAGTCTGCCTTAGCAAACTGTTATAGTAGATTACCAGTTACCACGTATCCTGATATGCCACCCAAACCTCCCTAGCTGTCATGTTTTCTCATGGAATGCCAGCACACAGCACATTGGCTACCATACAGAATATACTCAGTAAAGACTTGAAGCATGAATGGCTAAAATTCTGCCCTGTGAACTCTGTTCTATGTCTAAACTGAATCTGCCATTGGCTCTTAACCACTCCTTTGCCTCTGGGTGTTAAGTCTTAACATGTGAGTTGTCTTTCTTACAGACTATCACTGGCTGTGCACTGTATCTTACAATTCTCCCTCAGTGGCTGGATGTATGAGATATAATACATCAATAAATGCCAACAATGATGATATCTCATCAAGTTGAGCTCTAGACAAAGCTTGGAATTAGGAATGGGTTTTCAAGAAAGGGGAGGGTCATTCAGTACACTCATATTTGAAATAGGGCTTTGTTGTACAGGCTTACAAAATATACACACTTCAACTTATTAGCATTGTCAAGTTATAAATAAGATGTATGTATATATTTTATGAAGTGAGATAATTTTCAGTCAGTCATAACATCTGCCCATACATCTGTACTTTGAAAATTGAGGATCTCAAGCTTCACTGTGGATGGATTAGTCTCCTTTTCTCTTCATACTTCTTATTTTGACGTCAGAAATCTTAGCATTTGCTTCATAGTCTGCCCCTGCTACATCTCCTGATGCTTTTCTGTGGTCTGGAACAATCAGGTACAGCCAAGTCCAGACTACTGCCAACATACCATCATGGTATGGCAAGAGCAGAGTGTACTGGGCTACATGGTGACGGCATATTCGGTTAGCTCAGACAGCAGCCTCTAGTGTAAATTCTCAGGGTCTTTGATTCCTTATCCTGTCTTCCTTGGCTAGAAAAGGAATACTTGCGTTCTTCAACTTAGTAGCTATCTTCCAATTACTGCTTCAACTTATCACTTCAGTTGGAGGGTGGCCACTGACGCCTTGTTTGAATGTTAACTGAGTGCAGATTTCAGGCAGGCTACACAGCTGTCGTACTGGGGTTTACTGGGCTCCTGAGTGACTTCCACCAGAGTCTATGGAACCCATCTTCATCTTTCTTGACTTCACCCTTCTTTTGCTAAGCTCCATGTAATTTCTCCAGAATGAACACATGGAAAATAAAATTTAAGAGCTCTTCTGTGTCTCAAAATTACTTTATGTTGCTCATATGTTTGGTTGACAGTTTGGCTGTGCACAGAATTCATTCATCATCTCAATGTTCTGCCAGGGTCTGTTTAGTTTTCTTGTTTTTTCCTGTTCATGATGCTGTTTTTCTTCAAATAGCTGATGATATCTGCTTATCCACATAATTGGAGATGAAGAGCAGAAAGTTTTTTTGGGAAAAGCTAT